TACTCAAGAGAGAAAGTATTCATGAAACTGAACATTATGCAGGAGTAAGCTTGTTCACAGTAAAAATACAAAGCATAAGTTACACACTCACACCACAGATGAACAGTGCAATTTTAAATAATTACTGGAATTTAGCAGATAAAGTTTTCAGTCTGAACGAGAAAAATATATTAGAAAACACAGCAATGACACTAGGACAAGCAATTTAATTATGTAACCGTATTTAATAGTTCAGTTACACTGAGCAGAGCATGTATTACACTGATTTATCAAATGTAAGGAGTGGCTACACTGAAGCACACTCTGAGCCTTTTAAAGTCTTAATACAGGCTTACAAATGACAATTAACTGTTGGGGAAAGCAGCACTTAACACTTCTAGCACAAGTATGACAGATGAATGTTCACTGTGTACAAGCCAATCACCACAAGCTTACTATGTTTATAAGTGAACCTCTGGCATGTCCTACTCAAAATGTCAGCACTGCAATGCTCGTCAAATTGTTCTCAAGCCACTACAGGAAACACTGGTATGCCAGCAGCACTGCAGAACGTATACACAGACATGCTGGGCCCTAGGACAGCTATAACTGCAGGCTGCCTTAGCTTGTTCTGGCTAGCTTTTAGTGCTGCCCTCAAGCTTGCGTGACTGTGCTCGCCAAGCCCGCGCCAATCACCCGGACACCTGCTTGCAGCAGGCAGGCAGGCACACAGGAGACACTCGCAAGATGAGCGGAGTGCGGCACAGAGGACACGGGCACTCAAGCACCCATGTGGTCTGGCAAAAAACCGCCTCTAGACCACAAGCAAATAGAGGCGAACGGCTGAGTTCCAAATCGAGGAAGGAGAAGGGACAAGGAAGGGATATTCACCTCGCTAGACACAGGCAATATGGGTGTAGTGGCCTGTACTACTTGTTAATTACTCCAAACCCACAGCACTTAACGCATCTAGCACACATGTCTTGGAATGACAGACAAATTTTCACTACATAAGAACTAGTTCTCACAACACTGAAGGTGCAGCCAGAACACTGTAGAACGTTCACAAAGGCATTCTGGGATTCAGAACAGATGTAGCCTTGGCCTTCACTGGCTGGCTTGGAGCGCTATTTGGCCTGGATCAGCTAAACTCGCCCTTATCCCATATGTAGATAATGGCGATGAGTTAAGGGATACCGGTGAATAGGAAAGTCGAGGAAGGGACGTTCACCTCACTAGACACACGCAGTATGGGTGTAAGTGGCATGCGGGTCTTAAAGTGCCATTTTCAAGGTCACCCAGCAGGCCAGACATTCCTCACTCATTTTAAGCCTACGTAGGTACTGATGGTAGCACAATGTCCTAAGTCAGCGTAATCCACTCATGCAAATAGTTACAACAAATCTGCAGCACTTGCGGAACTCGCATATTCGAGTACCAGCGGGGCAGCAAAATACACCTCTACACTGCACGTCGTTGATAGAGGCGAACGGCTGAGTTTAAAGGCGGAGAGTTGGGGATACAGGAGAACAGCAGGGGTAACTGAGCATGCACATTCGCCTTTCTTCACATAGTCAATATGGGCGAAAGTCTCAGGCAGGTGATGCAGTGCCTCGCTCAAGGTCACAGGCTGAGGCAGACTTCTCAAGAGTTACTAAACACTGCAATACTCCTACAGATTGTTACTCACTCCAAACTTGCAGAATTTCTAGCACACGTGTCTTGGAGTGAAAGACGAATTTTCAGTGTGTGGACACCTGGGTTACCAACTCACATAGGACTGCACACTCGTCGTTATTCCTCAGGTTGGTAAAGCGATGAGTTGTGAGCATTTGAGAGGCACGAGTAGCAGTGGACTAGCAAAATTCGCCTCTACACTGTATATTGATAGAGGCGAAAGGCTGAGGCCAAATGAAAGGCAGAGGGGAAGCTGAGGCCTGTGAGGGCCTTTGCAAAAAGGAAAACTATTTCCAGTGTTTCACTAGGTATATCCTTAGTCACAGCTCGCACATAACAGTTCTCCCAACACTGAAGCTGTCTTCCAACAGTAGGAGTTTTAATGATGACTTATCAGTTGGGAGAAATGGGTAGGCCTGCTAATTAGTAGGTCCAGATCCCCAGCACACGTCTACTCCCCTCAACCACTCAGCCAAGACTGACATGAAAGGGGCGAATTCATAAACAACAGTTCTAGAGATGGTAAATCTTGTCTCACAAATCTGCTTGAGTTCTATGTTAGGTACCGAAAGTTAGGTGTGCTGCATATTTTTGGGCTTTAAAAAGACGTTCAGTGCAGTAACTCTGAGAAAGGGGCAAAAAAGTTAGAGGAACAACCTGGAAAAAAACAGTGAAGGCGCTAAAGTGAAGCAAAGAATACTTGACAGGATTGAAACAAAACATTATTGTTCAGGACGAGGTATCGGAGTGGACATGTGTGATTAAGGTCATTGCTGATCCAGTAGTGTTTCTTGGATACATAAATGATATGACAGAATAAACTGAGTCAGAGGTATCCCTCTTTACAAATGACTTGAAACTAATAAGCAGAATACAAACAGGATCAGAAGAGGAAATACTGCACACGGATCTGGACACTATATGATTACACTGACAAATGACTACTAGAATTTATCCCCAGCAAATGCAAAGTTATGAAAATTTGGGGAGGAAAAAAACGACTGGAAACAAAGTGATAGCTCAGGGGACAAAAACTACAAACCTCCCTAAAAGAGAAAGACCTCGGGGTGAGCATAGTTCCAAACATATCTGTGGGCAGTAGTCAAGACCCAAGCATATCGCCTGATGCACAAATTAACTGAATAGCCACAGAAACAAATGCGAGATTGGCAAGTTTAAAGATAGATTTCAGGAACTTCAGCAAGGAGTCAGTCACACAACTATTTACGACTTTTGTCATGCTTATTTTGAAGCAAGCAGCAGCAGTATGGAACCTTTATGTTAATAAACATAATTTTTTAATTTGTATAATTATATTATCTCTTTTGTTTACATAATTGATCATTTAACAATACTGCTGCTCCTTCCTTAGCTCTGATTATCTCAGATATACCTGACCTAATGCCATTTACGCTTTGCTGCTGAAAATGTCATAGCACATCCCCCCCCTCCCCTTTAGGTTTGTTTTGCTTAGAGCCAGGATATCCAGCTTCTTTTCATTCATAACATTCATAGTCAATTCTTTCTTCACATTTAGATTACACCCACACACATTCAGACAACCCACTATTAAAATTTCGTTTTTTTTTCTTTCTATTAATTTATATAAGGAGAAGAGGTTACTACGTTATTAAAGAGGTTAGAGGTTACTAAAATGCTCCTTACATTTTAGTCTCCTGTTATGACATTCATGACTTACAGAGGAAGAATTCTCAACTTTGGGCACACAAATTTAGTTTAATATGTTTATTATGCACCCCATACCCATCCCGTGGGCGGTAGTCAAAAGATTACAGAGGCACATAATTGGTCCAGGGACTGGACTCCAAAGTTTTGATAGCTGAGCAAGTTACAGAGGTAATGAATTCACAATTTACAAAGGTAATGAACTCACAAATTACAAAGGTAATGAACTCCAGGTAGGTCTAGTCACAATCATGACAAGTTACAAAGGTATTTACAGATTACAGAGGTACGTAATGGGTCCAGGGACTGGGCTCCCAAAGTTGTGATAGCTGAACTAGGTACAAAGGTAATGAGCTCACAAGTTACAAAGGTAATGAATACTGTAAGAATGGTTACTTACATTTATACATGGCTACAATCATGAACAAATTATAGTGTAATGAGCAATTCACACTTCCACACCCGGTCACAACTGTAGTGAGTTATTGGTGCAAATATTGATTGTTGAGTCACACACACACCACACACACACACACACACACACACACACACACACACACACACACACACACACACACACACACACACACACACACACACACACACACACACACACACACACACACACACACACATACACATACACATACACATACACACACACACACACACACACACACACACACACACACACACACACACACACACATATACAAATTCACACACACACACACACATACACAAACTCATACACACACACGCACACACTCATACCGGTGAAGAGCAACTGGTGAAGAGGCGGGGCCAGGAGCTAAGACTCGACCCCTGCAACCACAAATAGGTGAGTACAAATAGGTGAGTACACACACACACCCACTCATACGCACACACACACTCATACACATACACACACACACACACTCGCACTCGCAAATACAACAGGCCTAGTGTCTAATCGACATGTGCCTAGGACAAAATGGTAACTAACACGCACACACAAACACACACACAAACACACACACACACACACACACACACACAAGCACTGGACAAGCACCTAAAGTCAGTTCCTGATCAGCCGGGCTGTGGCTCGTACGTTGGTTTGCGTGCAGCCAGCAGCAACAGCCCGGTTGATCAGGCTCTGATCCACCAGGAGGCCTGGTCACAGACCGGGCCGCGGGGGCGTTGACCCCCGGAACTCTCTCCAGGTAAACTCCAGGTAAACACACAGGAGCTTGGACTCGACCCCTGCAATCTCAACTAGGTGAATGTACACACACACACACACACACACACACACACACACACACACACACACACACACATGTGGTAATGCACACACACACACACACACACACACACACACACACACACACACACACACACACACACACACACACACACACACACACACACACACACACACACATGCACACATGCACACATGTGGTAATGCTTTATTTACAGCTAGCAAAGTCAGGGTATTTCTCCAGAATGGTCTGCAATATACCACTGTGGATAAAATACTTTGCCATTTCTTGAACATTTCTGAGTGGGCACACAAAGCAAGGGGAGGGATGCATGCAGTATATCCAATATCTACCAAAATAACACAGTAAGTATGAAAAATCACTCGTCATATATTTGTTTCTCCTCAGCACATGCCAGAGATTCCAGACCTACGCAGGGGAAATATCAGGAAGGAATACCAAGAATTTACACTTGAGCAGCTAGACCATGGACCAGTCTTCACGTCTTCAGTAGTAAGTATTGTTAAATTATGTATAAGATGGTCTTTCTTTAAGCTTAAATGAAATTATGATTTTGAATGTAATTACTAGTATAAAACAGTAAAAAAATATTAGAATGGAAATGTGGAACAGTAGAAAGCAATAAGGAATAAATCAGAATTAAAATATTATAGAAAGTCTTTTGTCATAGAAAATTTCGTTTTACACGCAATTTTCAGGAACGTAACTACAGTGTTAATCGACGGTCTAATGTATTATAGAAAGATATTTGTCACAGGAAATTCTCTTTAAGGAATAACTTATCACATCTCTGAGGTCTCACAGGTAGTGACTAAAACGATGAGGTTTGGAACATTTAGCTATATATAGATTAATTTTCCCCAGAGCAGTTGATTTAGTATTCTAAGGACTATAGTCCTTAGAATAATGCGTTATAAAAGCTATTTGCAACGCACTATTTCCAGAAGAACATGATCGCTTTATTCAAAGTGAGTTAAATTTATTTTGAAAGTTTCTTCCTCATTTCCAGTAGTTGACAGTACACAGGTAACACATATTGGAGAATGAAACTTATGACGACGTTTCTGTCCAGTCACGGTATTGTGACCTTCCACCCACGGTATTGTGATCTTTTTATTCTTCAGGAGTTGACAGGTTTAGTATTGATTGTGTTGCCTTCTCTCACTCTACTCAATAACTGACTATGCTGATGTATTTTTCTGTTAGATCATAGTAGGTCGTCAACTCTAGATTTAGATCTACGTTTTTTATTTCAGCATTATACAATGTTTGTACAAAGGTAAATGATATTTAGGCGTGCATGCAGAAAGCTTCTATATATACAGAGCATTTCGGGTAAACTTAAGACTATCGTTTAATCTCTTGTCAAATTCATCTCTCTTGTACATGTTGAGAAAGTTTTTTTTTTTCAGTGTTTAAAGTCTCATAACTATCTCGTCTTTGTCATGGATTTCGACTCTTGAAATTTCAGCAATAATTGTTTTAGATTATAATTTCTGTATTTATATTGTTTGAGTCATCCGCACTGAGCAGTTTCCCCAAATGCTTCTTGATTTAAAACATTTATCTAGTTTGGTTTTAGTTACACAGTCGAGGGTCTGATCACACATAATGTTCTCCAGTCTTTCTAAAATTTCTAAACTCTGTTTTACATTGAACTCTGATTATCGTTTCATTTGTACGAAGCTCTAAATCCTTGTGAGTCATTAAGGGTCGTTCCTTCGAACACCATTACTGACCTTCAGTAAAGCATTTGAGGCCGAGTACAATGTTAAAAAATACGATGGCTTTTATATGGATTTGGAAGAATGTTAAGGAAAGTGGCTGCATATAGAATTAGAGGAAAAGTTCACTTATGGATCGAGGCATCGGTCACAGGTGGCATTCCACAAGGATCAGTTTTAGGCTCATTGTTGTTCATAACTTATATTTCAAACCTTGGCGAGGGAAGAAAGGGTGACGGTACAAAAAAAAATAGATTTGGAGGACGATACCATGGAATTTTTTTTGAAAATCTGGAGAACTTAATGTTATGGTTCAAAAAATGGCAGATGCAGTTAAACGTGATTAAGTGTAAAAAGACCTAATAATCCTCTGGAATTAAAATATCCATCATACTTATAAAGCAAGAGATGTGGAACCTGATCATACAGAACGAGATAAAGACTTGGGAGTCGGGAGTCATGGTAAGCAGAAATCTGAAGCCTAGACAACAGTCGGGAGTCATGGTAAGCAGAAATCTGAAGCCTAGACAACAGTTGGGAGTCATGGTAAGCAGAAATCTGAAGCCTAGACAACAGTCGGGAGTCATGGTAAGCAGAAATCTGAAGCCTAGACAACAGTACCTTAGCATGCATAATAGATTTACATGAAAAACTATTAGTAACAGTAATCCTCTTAGATTATGCTCTTCAATACTGATCTTATTATTATAGCATGAATATCTGTGCAGAGGAGGATGACGAAATTAATCCACTGTATAATAAATCTTTCGTCTGAGAATAGCTTAAAGTACTAAACCTACACTCTTGAAAGACGTTGAACGAGAAGAATATATGACTGTAGTATACCAGTGGAAGACAATCAAATTCAAAGTTTATTCTCTATAAGGATTACAATGCTGAGTTTACAGAATTTAGTGATTGTGTGGTTTACATGTAGTAAAATAATGATTACAGTGTGTACCACTAGAACACCTAGCATGGCTAGGCATTTCGGGCAGACTTAGTTTAATTCTTAATTTTAAAATATTACAAATTATGAGGTAGGTTGGTATTATGGCTAAGTGACTAAATACTAGTTTGTGAGTTTAACAATGTGAATGCTTTTGTTTTGGCACAGTACATTGTTTCAGTATTGGAGTATCACAGGATTCATTATTTTAAGATTGAGATTAATATTTCTGTTTATGGTCAAATGAGTGAGTGAGTGTAAGTGTGAACCACCAGGTGGTATTCGTGTAGTTAGTTGACGGGGTGTATCAGGGAGATAAGATTTTTTTCTAATGGTAGTTTTGAAGGTGATGAATGTGTCTGCAGTTCTAGAGTTCTCAGGTAGGGTGTTCCAGATTTTAGGGCCTTTGACATACATTGAATTTTGTAAAGGTTTAGTCGGACACGGGGAATGTCGTAGAGATGTTTGTGTCTGGTGTTATGCCTGTGGGTTCTGTCACAACTATCAAGAAAGCGTTTTAGGTCAAGGTTGATATTGGAGTTTAAGGTCCTGTAGATGTAGATTGCACAGTAGTAACTGTGGATGTACTGAAGAGGGAGTAAGTTTAGATCTATGAAGAGTGGGTGGGGGGTGTTGCCAGGATCGGATTTAGTGATTATTCTTACTGCAGCTTTTTGTTAGGTTATTATTGGCTTTAGGTGTGTTGCTGCAGTTGATCCCCAAGCACAAATAGCATAGGTGAGGTATGGATAAATAAGTGAGTGGTATAGTGTGAGAAGGGCATTTTGCGGCACCCAAGAAAGAAAACGAAATAATGGATTCATGCTGGATAAATTTAGATTTAGAAAGAGTACAAGAAGCTGTTGGTACGGTGAGTGGACCAGTGAGAAGAACCAGTGAGAGGAACGTACCCAGCATGGGACATATACCCATTCTCGTGTTCCCGTGTGGCAGTGCTTAAAAAGAGTCCAATTTCCAATATTCTTATTTATTCATTTCTTGCATATTCTTATAATCGCTCTAAGAAATCTTACAACTGCTCATAATAATTTGTCCAAATTCAGATTAACTGGCAACAACCTGGTGGAGGAAATGCTGGGTCTTGAGATCACCAACCCGGCAGATGTCAAGGTTCAGGTCTACTTCCACGAACAACTCGATGAAATCGTCACAGAAATATCTGAAGAGTACAGGTCAGTTCTTTGCTTCATATACTGCCTGGCTATCAGTTTCTTTACCTGATATACTGCCTGGCTATCAGTTCTTTACCTGATATACTGCCTGATTATCAGTTCTTTGCCTGATACACTGCCTTGTTATCAGCTCTTTACCTGATATACTGCTTGGCTAATCAGTTCTTTACCTGATATACTGCCTGATTATCAGTTCTTTTCCTGATACACTGCCTTGTTATCAGCTCCCTTTTCCCGATATACTGCCTGGCTATCAGTTCTTTGCCTGATACACTGCCTTGTTATCAGCTCTTTACCTGATATACTGCCTGGCTATCAGTTCTTTGCCTGATACACTGCTTGGCTATCAATTCTTTGCGTGATATACTGCCTGGCTATTAGTTCTTTGCCTGATATACTGTATGGTTATCATTTTTTTTGCCTGATGTACTTCCTGGCTACCAGTTCTTTGCCTGATATACTGCCTGGCTATCAGTTCTTTGCCTTATACACTGCTTGGCTATCAGTTCTTTTCCTGATGTACTGCCTGGCTATCAGTTCTTTGCCTGATATACTGCCTAGCTTCAGTTCTTTTCCTGATATACTGCCTGGCTATCAGTTCTTTGCCTGATATACTGCCTGGCTATCAGTTCTTTTCCTGATATACTTCCTGGCTACCAGTTCTTTTCCTGATATACTGCCTGGCTATCAGTTCTTTGCCTGATATACTGCTGGCTATCAGTTCTTTGCCTGATATACTGCCTGGCTATCAGTTCTTTGCCTGATATACTGCCTGGCTATCAGTTCTTTGCCTGATATACTGCCTGGCTATCAGTTCTTTGCCTGATATACTGCCTGGCTATCATTTCTTTGCCTGATATACTGCCTGGCTATCAGTTCTTTGCCTGATATACTGCCTGGCTATCAGTTCTTTGCCTGATATTTCTGCCTGGCTATCAGTTCTTTGCCTGATATACTGCCTGGCTATCAGTTCTTTGCCTGATATACTGCCTGGCTATCAGTTCTTTGACCTGATATACTGCCTGGCTATCAGTTCTTTGCCTGATATACTGCCTGGCTATCAGTTCTTTGCCTGATATACTGCCTGGCTATCAGTTCTTTGCCTGATATACTGCCTGGCTATCAGTTTCTTTGCCTGATATACTGCCTGGCTATCAGTTCTTTGCCTGATATACTGCCTGGCTATCAGTTCTTTGCCTGATATACTGCCTGGCTATCAGTTTTTTGCTTCATATTAGTCACATGGCTCATTATTATGTGTTTCATCTGGCACCTTGGTGGCACCTTGGTGGCACCTTGGGCATTAAAACCCTGGTGTTGGGGCATATAAAATATTTATCTTTGCAGCTCTAGGGCCACAAAGGTAAATTTACCAAAAACGCTAAACAGCTAGACAATACTTGAGGGTTGACTACTGGGAAGGACAGATTAACTTACATATACAAAACTTATCCACTAATTATCAGTAACACTCTACACAAAACTTAAAAACCGGCCCACAAAACTTTTCACATCTTACCAAAAACTCACTAGTACACTGCTGCTAGTTGAAGATTGAGACACTTATGCAGCATATGGGAATCTTTATTCAGGAAACGCCTTCCTCTTTGTATTGGACTGATGAAGCCACTGTGTGGCGAAACGTTTCCTGAATAAAGATTCCCATATGCTGCATAAGTGTCTCAATCTCCAACTTGTCGGTTTTTCAAAACATTCATCACAACTGCTGCTAGTTATTTCAAGTTGGGCCATACGAAAACAGTGGGTCTCAATGATTCCATTTCGTTTTATTCTTATGGTTCTGGTGTGGCCTGGTATTTATGTGGCCCCAGTATTTATGTGGCCCTGGTATTTATGTGGGCCTGTTTAAGATTTAGAGAGTACAGAAATAATAGCAGTGTTTTTTGCTGCGGTCAAATAAAATCACACAAAAAAAAGAAATGCTACAACTTAAACAACACTCCATGACACCTCTGTAACACCACACCAGCAACTGCTCTCTCCTCGCTGTAGATAATTGGTTCAGAGAACCGACAAGTTGATAAATTAGACACATGTTACTCATGAAATCGTAATGACACGATTGCAAACAAACCATAACACGGGTGGGGATACAAGCCGCGGTCAGAGAGTTGGTCCAGTGGCTAGCACGTCGGTCTGGGGTTTTATGACTCTGACCGCGGGTTCTATTCCCACCCGTGGTGTGGTTTAGACACATGTGCAACACTTGAGTATCATCTTCATTGAGGAAACGTTTCCCCACGCAGTGACTTCATCAGTCAAAAAAAAAATATGAAGGCCCAAGGCAGGAAGAAGCCAGTAGCCAAAATTGTCTGAGTCTACAGTAGACCCTTGTCACCTTCATACTTTCGAATACCGTAGCAAAATTAATAAACCAACAAACCAATTGACAACGTGAGCGCACACAGAATTTTAAGTCGAATTACGAGACATGAATAGCCTCCTGAGCATCGATCTGAATAGCCAAGTTAGTCATTTGACTTGAAATTAAGGTAGGACTATCGGGATGACTCCTGAAAATTCGAGAACATTACTGCCAGATTCGCAAATACCCTTGCTTGCCACCCTGTGGGAACCGTAAATAATACTGAAACCCAATTCCACCTACTAGTGAAGTCTCCGTTGCAGCTGCACATGCCATTGAGAGGACATGTGCAGCTGCATATGACTTCCCTGTCGAAGACTAGTGCGGCACTTGTGTCAGTCGAAGCACGGTCTTCTCTCCTTTTCCTAAGAATCCTGTATCCACTATTCTACGTCATCAGAGTTAAAAAGACAGAGTATATTTAATTTTAAAAGTTTTTTTTTTCAAGTACTCTTCACTTTTTTGAGAGAGAGAGAAATCGCAATTCGAATGTTTTCTTACAGGACTGACCCTCTGAACATGCAAAACATTTTGCTTCTCCTGTGGAGTGAGAGGATCTACACGAGCCTAGTGGAGCCTTTCGGGACCTCGCTGAGCTCTCCTGACTACTGTTTCCGAGCCACGACTTTCCTCATGGAGGACTTTGCTTCTTACCTCTACCTTGATGCCCTCCAGCCTCACCTCTCCAGCAAGAAATCTAAAGTGTGTTGACTTATGTTTGAGTGTGTTACATTTACGCTGTCCCTTAGCACAGATTCATTCATTCAGAGGCTGTTCTATATAGTTACAGTAAGGCCTGTGTATTCAGTCCATGTAAAACCCATGTAAACATTTCATGTAAAGTCCGTGAACACAGTACAAGACCACTTCACACAGTCCTAAATAACAAATGTGTACATATTCAAGATGAACTATGAATATTTATGAACTTTCTGTTAAAAAATGTTTGCACACAATCCTCTACCAAGGTCCACTTAACCAGAGAACTGTATGGATATTGATCGTAGAGAAATCGAGAGAGAGATCTCATAACCCCAGGATTATTATGTATGCAATAAGCCCCGTATGTGTTCCTCAACTAACTCACGAGACCTAGCAACTGTACATCAACTAACTCACGAGACCTAGCAACTGTACATCAACTAACTCACGAGACCTAGCAACTGTACATCAACTAACTCACGAGACCTAGCAACTGTACATCAATTAACTCACGAGACCTAGCAACTGTACATCAACTAACTCACAAGACCTAGCAACTGTACATCAATTAACTCACGAGACCTAGCAACTGTACATCAACTAACTCACAAGACCTAGAAAACTGTACATCAATTAACTCACGAGACCTAGCAACTGTACATCAATTAACTCACGAAAACCTAGCAACTGTACATCAACTAACTCACAAGACCTAGCAACTGTACATCAACTAACTCACGAGACCAAACAAATGTACATCAACTAACTCACGAGACCTAACTGGAGACTTTCGTCGTGCTTCCTGACCACTACGACTGGTGTCAGGAAACACCTGTCGTGCTTCCTGACGACCACGACTATGTCAGGAAACACCTGTCGTGGTTCATTACGACTAAAAATAAGACTACACCTCAGTAGCTACTGAGGTTCAAGGTTTTGTTCCTACAGGGCTTGAAACACCTTCATGGGCACTACTGCCCCTCAGTACGACTCAGCACAAAAAAAGGCAGTGAAGATGTTGAGTATATTTGCATGGAGGAAACAATATTTATTAAAATACATTACAAATAGCTATTGTAAATTGTCTTAAAGTTTTCTTTTATATTTTTAGATTGAAAATATGATAAAAATTCACAAGAAGACGGCCGAGGAACAGTTACTTCGAAAATTTAACGACGCTGATAATTCCATGATAGATAAACTTCACATGATGTTGGGTGAAGTGGCTGAAATAGATAGGATCAAAGAGGCACTTCAGCTCAACATGCAAGGTGTAAGTTATTGTTATGTGTGTTTTCCCTTTGTATATTCTAATTTTTTTTGGAGGGTTATATGATTGTTCTCTCTAAATCGATTACATTTTCCTCTCCTTTTCAATGTTAGTGTTTTTGATCTGTCGGATTTAGATTGTTATGGAGGTTCATGCATAACGGAGGAGCTGGATCACTGCAAACATCTCACCAGCACCTGGATCACTACAAACATCTCACCAGCAGCTGGATCACTGCAAACATCTCACCAGCAGCTGGATCACTGCAAACATCTCACCAGCAGCTGGATCACTACAAACATCTCACCAGCAGCTGGATCACTACAAACATCTCACCAGCAGCTGGATCACTACAAACATCTCACCAGCAGCTGGATCACTACAAACATCTCACCAGCAGCTGGATCACTACAAACATCTCACCAGCAGCTGGATCACTACAAACATCTCACCAGCAGCTGGATCACTACAAACATCTCACCAGCAGCTGGATCACTACAAACATCTCACCAGCAGCTGGATCACTACAAACATCTCACCAGCAGCTGGATCACTACAAACATCTCACCAGCAGCTGGATCACTACAAACATCTCACCAGCAGCTGGATCACTGCAAACATCTCACCAGCAGCTGGATCACTGCAAAAAATCTCACAAGCAGCTGGATCACTACAAACATCTCACCAGCAGCTGGATCACTACAAACATCTCACCAGCAGCTGGATCACTACAAACATCTCACCAGCAGCTGGATCACTACAAACATCTCACCAGCAGCTGGATCACTACAAACATCTCACCAGCAGCTGGATCACTACAAACATCTCACCAGCAGCTGGATCACTAAAAACATCTCACCAGCACTGGATCACTACAAATATCTCACCAGCAGCTGGATCACTGCAAACATCTCACCAGCAGCTGGATCACTACAAACATCTCACCGGCAGCTGGATCACTACAAACATCTCACCGGCAGCTGGATCACTACAAACATCTCACCAGCAGCTGGATCACTACAAACATCTCACCAGCAGCTGGATCACTACAAACATCTCACCAGCAGCTGGATCACTACAAACATCTCACCAGCAGCTGGATCACTACAAACATCTCACCGAGCATGGATCACTACAAACGTCTCACCAGCAGCTGGATCACTACAAACATCTCACCAGCAGCTGGATCACTACAAACATCTCACCAGCAGCTGGATCACTACAAAACATCTCACCAGCAGCTGGATCACTACAAACATCTCACCAGCAGCTGGAAACACTACAAACATCTCACCAGCAGCTGGATCATACAAACATCTCACCAGCAGCTGGATCACTACAAACATCTCACCAGCAGCTGGATCACTACAAACATCTCACCAGCAGCTGGATCACTACAAACATCTCACCAGCAGCTGGATCACTACAAACATCTCACCAGCAGCTGGATCACTGCAAACATCTCACCAGCAGCTGGATCACTGCAAACATCTCACCAGCAGCTGGATCACTGCAAACATCTCACCAGCAGCTGGATCACTGCAAACATCTCACCAGCAGCTGGATCACTGCAAACATCTCACCCGCAGCTGGATCACTGCAAACATCTCACCAGCAGCTGGATCACTACAAACATCTCACCAGCAGCTGGATCACTACAAACATCTCACCAGCAGCTGGATCACTACAAACATCTCACCAGCAGCTGGATCACTACAAACATCTCACCAGCAGCTGGATCACTACAAACATCTCACCAGCAGCTGGATCACTACAAACATCTCACCAGCAGCTGGATCACTACAAACATCTCACCAGCAGCTGGATCACTACAAACATCTCACCAGCAGCTGGATCACTACAAACATCTCACCAGCAGCTGGATCACTAGAAACATCTCACCAGCAGCTGGATCACTACAAACATCTCACCAGCAGCTGGATCACTACAAAACATCTCACCAGCAGCTGGATCACTACAAACATCTCACCAGCAGCTGGATCACTACAAACATCTCACCAGCAGCTGGATCACTACAAACATCTCACCAGCAGCTGGATCACTACAAACATCTCACCAGCAGCTGGATCACTACAAACATCTCACCAGCAGCTGGATCACTACAAACATCTCACCAGCAGCTGGATCACTACAAACATCTCACCAGCATTATAACATTTTAAATTTCGACGAACAAAAATCCACAATGTCGTAACTATAACATTACCTTTTCTCCTTTCCTTTTTTCCTCCCTTTTGTTTCTTTGTTTTCAATATGTCTGCCTAAGTGTGTTCTGTGCTTCAGTTCCTCCCACTCCTCGTGGTTTTATTCTTATCCCTTATGGTTCTTAGCTCTCCTGCAGTGTTCCTTTTTCTTGTACTTATACTGGCCCCTACTTCTTCTACTACTACGACTACCACTCCATTCTCCTGTTGTTACTACAGGGAAGAGTACTTACTCATCCAACATCTACACGTGTGCTTCCCACCGAGAGTACTCACTCATCCAACATGTACGCATGCACTTCCCACCGAGAGTACTCACTCATCCAACATGTACGCATGTACTTCCCACCAAGAGTACTCACTCATCCAACATCTACACGTGTGCTTCCCACTGAGAGTACTCACTCATCCAACATCTACACATGTACTTCCCACTGAGAGTACTCACTCATCCAACATCTGCACACAATATATTTCAGACAGCAGTCTGAGTGATCAAGAATTATTGCTTTGTAAAGGAGTTATAAACATGTAAACAATCTCTTTTACCCACACAGTATGTGACCAAGGTGTTTCTTTTACCCACACAGTATGTGACCAAGGTGTTTCTTTTACCCACACAGTATGTGACCAAGGTGTTCCTTTTACCCACACAGTATGTGACCAAGGTGTTTCTTTTACCCACACAGTATGTGACCAAGGTGTTTCTTTTACCCACACAGTATGTGACCAAGGTGTTTCTTTTACCCACACAGTATGTGACCAAGGTGTTTCTGAAGGTATACATTGTATGACTGTATTTAGCGTGTTTATGTACATTAATATTCTATAAATTATTATAAATATTTTACATGTGCTATATGACCCTTTGGATTATGGTGATACCCGGATAACATATTAATAACGATAGTTATTTTATCAGAGAACATTGTGTTATTTAGAAGTTTTTTGTATACGCAGGTTGAATTAAGTGATAACTTCCTGGACAACAGTGTGACACTACTACAGAGGTACCGCACCATGATGTATGCTGTCTACTACAAGCAACCAAGTCACCCTCAAGTAATGTATGTTACCTCCAACACTTAACTCTTTCTTAGGGTGTTACATATTACATAGATATATTATCTATCTGAGGCCCAGTATTGTAGCCACTCAGCCACAAACTTACTGTTGGACTGGATGTAGTTACAACTAGAACTCTCATGACCTGGTTGTATCAGCTGCATCAACTGTGACTCGACTGTCTCATCCCACACCCACGGTAGCTTTGGTGGTACGTCTATTCTTCTACCCCTTAAAACTATATAGTCCATAAACCCAAGATAATTCGTAATGAACGACTATCAGCGAATAAAGAGAAGTTAGTTTAGTTTAGTTTAATATGTTTATTATGCACCCCATACCCATCCTGTGGGCGGTAGTCAAAAGATTACAGAGGTACATAATTGGTCCAGGGACTGGACTCCAAAGTTTTGATAGCTGAGCAAGTTACAGAGGTAATGAATTCACAATTTACAAAGGTAATGAACTCACAATTTACAAAGTTAATGAACTCCAGGTAGGTCTAGTCACAATCATGACAAGTTACAAAGGTATTTACAGATTACAGAGGTACGTAATGGGTCCAGGGACTGGGCTCCCAAAGTTTTGATGGCTGAACTAGGTACAAGGTAATGAACTCACAAGTTACAAAGGTAATGAGCTCACAAGTTACAAAGGTAATGAATCCTGTAAGAATGGTTACTTACGTTTATACATGGCTACAATCATGAACAAATTATAGTGTAATGAGCAATTCACACTTCCACGTCCTCGATGACGCACTGACTTTCTTGGGTTATCCTGGGTGGCTAACCCTCCGGGGTTAAAAATCCGAACGAAATCTCACACCCGGTCACAACTGTAATGAGTTATTGGTGCAAATATTGATTGTTGAGTCACACACACACACATATACACAGTTTTAAGACGAGGTTTGATAAAGCTCATGGAGCGGGGAGAGAGAGGGCCTAGTAGCAACCGGTGAAGAGGCGGGGCCAGGAGCTAGGACTCGACCCCTGCAACCACAAATAGGTGTGTACAAAATAGGTGAGTAACACACACACACACACACACACACACACACACACACACACACACACACACACACACACACACACACACACACACACACACACACACACATAAAACACACACACACATAAACACACACACACATAAACACCACACACACACACACACACACACACACACACACACACACACACACACACACCACACACACACAAACTCATACACACACACACTCATACACACACACACACTCATACTACACACACACACACTCATACACACACACACACACACTCATACACACACACACACTCATACACACACAACACACTCATACACACACACACTCATACACACACACACACATACACACACACGCACACTCATACACACACACACACTCATACACACACACACTCATACACACACACACTCATACACACACATACACACTCATATACATAAAGAGAAGAACAAGCTTTTACTGGAACAACGATCTATACTAGAAGTCTCCCTCTATTCTCCTGTTGATTTAGTAATAGTCGTTCATTACGACTTATTTTGGATTTATTAATTATATAGTTTGGAGGGGTATGAGATAGAAGTACTCACCTAATTGTGGTTGCAGGGGTCAAGACTCAGCTCCTGGCCCTGCCTTGAGAGGTGTGGCTGTAGCATGAGGCAACATTTCTGTGATATAGTGTATGTATGTGTGATTGCAGGAATCGATTCACAATGTGTATGTGTGTACTTACCTGTTTGTGGTTGCAGGGGCCGAGACTCAGCTCCTGGCCCTGTGTGTGTGTGTGTGTGTGTGTGTGTGTGTGTGTGTGTGTGTGTGTGTGGTGTGTGTGTGTGTGTGTGTGTGTGTGTATACTCATCTAATTGTACTCAACAATTGTGGTTGCAGGCGTCGAGTCGTAGCTCTTGGCGTGTGTGTGTGTGTGTGTATTCACCTAATTGTGGTTGCAGGGGTCGATTCATAGCTCATAGCTCCTGGCCCCGCCTCTTTACTGGACGCTAGAAAATCACTCACCCTGCTCCGTGAACTTTATCATAACTTTTTTTTAAAGCTATGTATGGTTCCTGCCTCCACTACGTCACTTTCTAGACTATCCCACTTCCTGACAACTCTATGACTGAAGAAATACTTCCTAACATCCCTGTGACTCATCTGAGTCTTCAACTTCCAAATCTGACCCCCTTCTTGCTGTGTCCCATCTCTGGAACATCCCGTCTCTGTCCACCTTCTCGATTCCTCTCGGTATTTTATATGTCGTTATCATGTCCCCCCTATCTCTCCAGACCTCCAGTGTCGTCAGGTCGATTTCCCTTAACCGTTATTCGTAGGACATACCCCTTAGCTCCGGGACCAGTCTAGTTGCCAGCCTTTGCACTTTCTCTAATTTCCTGACGTGCTTATGTACTCACCTAGTTGTGGTTCCAGGAGTCGAATCACAGCTCCTGGCCCCGCCTCTTCACTCTCATGCGTGTGTGTCAGTGTGTGCGTGTGCGTCAGTGTGTGCGTGTGTGTGTTATGGATTTCAGTATCCATACACAATACTATTTGTTCTACATGATTTACAGTGTAGATTAAATGTTTCACAAGATGTACTGTGTGTTTCACATGATGTACTCACTGTGCGTTTCACATGATGTACTCACTGTGCGTTTCACATGATGTACTCACTGTGCGTTTCACATGATGTACTCACTGTGCGTTTCACATGATGTACTCACTGTGCGCTTCACATGATGTACTCACTGTGCGTTTCACATAATGTACTTACTGTGTGTTTCACATAATGTACTTACTGTGTGTTTCACATGATGTACTCACTGTGGCGTTCACATGATGTATTCACTGTGTGCTTCACATAATGTACTCACTGTGCATTTCACATAATGTACTTACTGTGTGTTTCACATAATGTACTTACTGTGTGTTTCACATAATGTACTTACTGTGTGTTTCACATAATGTACTCACTGTGTGTTTCACATGATGTACTCACTGTGCGTTTCACATGATGTATTCACTGTGTGCTTCACATAATGTACTCACTGTGCGTTTCACATAATGTACTTACTGTGTGTTTCACATAATGTACTTACTGTGTGTTTCACATAATGTACTTACTGTGTGTTTCACATAATGTACTTACTGTGCGTTTCACATAATGTACTTACTGTGCGTTTCACATAATGTACTTACTGTGTGTTTCACATGATGTACTCACTGTGCGTTTCACATGATGTACTCACTGTGCGCTTCACATGATGTACTCACTGTGCGTTTCACATAATGTACTTACTGTGTGTTTCACATGATGTACTCACTGTGTGCTTCACATAATGTACTGTGTTTCACAAGATGTACTCAATGTGTGTCACATGTTGTTCTCACTGTATGTTTCACAAGATGTACTCACTGTGTGTTTCACAAGATGTACTCACTGTATTTCACAAGATGTACTCACTGTGTGTTTCACAAGATGTACTCACTGTGTGTTTCACATGATTCACTCACTTTGTGTTTCACATGATGTACTCACTGTGTGTTTCACATGATGTACTCACTGTGTGTTTCACAAGATGTACTCACTGTGTGTTTCATAAGATGTACTCACTGTGTGTTTCACAAGATGTACTCACTGTGTGTTTCACAAGATGAACTCACTGTGTGTTTCATAAGATGTACTCACTGTGTGTTTCACAAGATGTACTCACTGTGTTTCACAAGATGTACTCACTGTGTGTTTCACATGATTCACTCACTTTGTGTTTCACATGATGTACTCACTGTGTGTTTCACAAGATGTACTCACTGTGTGTTTCACAAGATGTACTCACTGTGTGTTTCACAAGATGTACTCGCTGTGTGTTTCACATGATTCACTCACTTGTGTTTCACATGATGTACTCACGTGTGTTTCACAAGATTACTCACATGTGTTTCACAAGATGTACTCACTGTGTGTTTCACAAGATGTACTCACTGTGTGTTTCACAAGATGTACTCACTGTGTGTTTCATAAGATGTACTCACTGTGTGTTTCACAAGATGTACTCACTGTGTTTCACAAGATGTACTCACTGTGTGTTTCACAAGATGTACTCACTGTGTGTTTCACATGATTCACTCACTTTGTGTTTCACATGATGTACTCACTGTGTGTTTCACAAGATGTACTCACTGTGTGTTTCACAAGATGTACTCACTGTGTGTTTCACAAGATGTACTCACTGTCTGTTTCGCAAGATGTACACACTGTGTGTTTCACATGATATACTCACTGTGTGTCACATGATGTACTCACTTTGTGTTTCACATGATGTACTCACTGTGTGTTTCACAAGATGTACTCACTGTTTCACATGAAGTACTCACTGTTTCACATGATGTACTCACAGCTTGTTTCATGTGGTGTACTCACTGTTTCACATGATGTACTCACTGTGTGTTTCACAAGATGTACTCACTGTTTCACATGAAGTACTCACTGTTTCACATGATGTACTCACAGCTTGTTTCATGTGGTGTACTCACTGTTTCACATGATGTACTCACTGTGTATTTCACATGATGTATTCACTGTTTCACAGATGTACTCACTGTGTGTTTCACAAGATGTAGCTCACTGCGTGTTTCACAGGATGTACTCACTGTGTGTTTCACAAGATGTACTCACTGTGTGTTTCACAAGATGTACTCACTGTGTGTTTCACAAGATGTACTCACTGTGTGTTTCACAGGATGTACTCACTGTGTGTTTCACAAGATGTACTCACTGTGTGTTTCACAAGATGTACTCACTGCGTGTTTCACAGGATGTACTCACTGTGTGTTTCACAAGATGTACTCACTGTGTGTTTCACAAGATGTACTCACTGTGTGTTTCACAAGATGTACTCACTGTGTGTTTTCATGATGTATTGTGTTTCACAAGATATACTCATTGTGTGTTTCACATGATGTACTCACTGTGTGTTTCAAATGGTGTACTCACTGTTTCACAGGATGTACTCACTGTGTGTTTCACATAATGTACTCACTGCGTGTTTCACAAGATGTACTCACTGTGTGTTTCACATAATATACTCACTGTGTGTTTCACAAGATATATTCACTGTGTGTTTCACATGATGTACTCACTGTGTTTCACAAGATGTACTCACTGTGTGTTTCACATGATGTACTCACTGTGTTTCACAAGATGTACTCATTGTATGCTTCACAAGATGTACTTACTGTGTGTTTCACATGATGCACTCACTCTGTTTCACATGATGTACTCACTGTGTGTTTCACAAGATGTACTCACTGTGTGTTTCACATGATGTGCTCACTGTGTGTTTCACATGATGTACTCACTGTGTGTTTCACATGATGCACCCACTCTCTTTCACATGATGTACTCACTGTGTGTTTTACAAGATGTACTCACTGTGTTTCACATAATGTACTCACTGTGTGTTTCACAAGATGTACTCACTGTGTGTTTTCATGATGTATTGTGTTTCACAAGATATACTCATTGTGTGTTTCACATGATGTACTCACTGTGTGTTTCAAATGGTGTACTCACTGTTTCACAGGATGTACTCACTGTGTGTTTCACATAATGTACTCACTGCATGTTTCACAAGATGTACTCACTGTGTGTTTCACATAATATACTCACTGTGTGTTTCACAAGATATATTCACTGTGTGTTTCACAGGATGTACTCACCGTGTGTTTCACAAGATGTACTCACTGTGTGTTTCACATGATGTACTCACTGTGTTTCACATGATGTACTCACTGTGTTTCACATGATGCACTCACTGTTTGTTTCACAAGATGTACACACTGTTTCACATGATGTACTCACTGTGTTTCACAAGATGTACTCACTGTGTGTTTCACATGATGTACTCACTGTGTTTCACAAGATGTACTCATTGTGTGTTTCACATGATGCACTCACTCTGTTTCACATGATGTACTCACTGTGTGTTTCACATGATGTACTCACTGTTTGTTTCACAAGATGTACTCACTGTGTGTTTCACATGATGTGCTCACTGTGTGTTTCACATGATGTACTCACTGTGTGTTTCACAAGATGTACTCAGTGCGTGTTTCACATGATATCCTCACTGTGTCACATGATGTACTCACTGTGTGTTTCACATGATTTAACCAGTGTGTTTCACAAGATGTACTCACTGTGTTTTACAAAATGTACTCACTGTGTGTTTCATATGATGTACTCACTGTTTCACATGATGTACTCACTGCATGTTTCACATGTACTCACTGTTTCACATGATGTACTCACTGCATGTTTCATGTGATGTACTCACTGTGTATTTCACATGATGTACTCTGTGTATTTCACATTATGTACTCACTGTGTGTTTCAAATGATGTGTCACTGTTGTTTACAAAGATGGACTCACTGTGTGTTTACTT